AAAAAAAAAAAAAAAAAAAAAAAAAAAAGGATAAAAGACGGGGCCCACCCATAGCATCAAGATAAGATAAGACTTCTGGGTTACGTTACGTTATCTAGATTGTCTCTTTGCCAGACAAGGGGAAGGCACTGGACTTGTGTTTCATTTCATCTAAATTTACTAGAAGAAATAAAGTCACAATCGTACAAGGACCAGTAAAAGAAAAGGTAAATAATTAATGACCCATCTACCCTTTTAAATTCTAACCCCAGTTTGGGAAACAGATTCTCACCACACATGATATGATGTGGTCCAACGCTGGCCGGAGATTTATCCCATTCTTCAAAAACCCATTTTCTATTATTTATTTATTCTTCTGAGAAGTAGCCATTTGCAAATATATTTTCATTCTAATAATTCTTTTAAAAAAAGAATTTTTTTTATTTATAAAAAGGAAGATAACATGTGCGTGGGCCATGTTTTCATACCCTTTTTTATGCTAGAGAAACAGAAAAGGATGCCCACACACACATATAATTCTGCAATTATTCGGTATTTTAATTTTAAAAATGATTTTTTACCTCTTAATTTCTTTTGTAATGGTTTTCATCTAAAAATATTGAATTTTTCATTATTCTCTATTTTACTTGGATTTTGGTACATTTCTTTTCTTAAATTTAAAATCTGTTTATACATTTTAAAAAATATTTTTATTATTATGTTTTGAAGTCATTTTATCCCAATCTATTATCTTATATTCATTTATGAATCGACAATTTTTGTTTAAAAATTCACGTATGGTCCACTGACATTAAAGTAGTGGACTTATACTAATAAAAATAGAGAATAATGAAAATTTGTGAGTTGTTTTGTTATTCAAATTTTGTACCACAATTTATTGATATTCTCTAAGTTGTTATTCTTTTATCCCTTAAAATATTAATAAAAAATTGTAAAGACCGGTGTTTTGTATTGACCGGCTTCGTTTGTCGTATTCAAACACATGATGATTCACCTTTTTAAAAATAAAAATAAAAATAAGCTAGGCTATTTTAATTTATCAGTTACTCGCTTCACTAATAGTCATACAACGAATCCATACAAGAAACAGGAGAAAAAAAAAATCCAACATTATTGAGGTCGTGGTTTGTAAGATCAATTGCTTTATTTAGATTATCTTTGAATTATATATTTTTTTAGTTCAGTATATTGTTTTGAATTATCTTGTTGGTTTTTCTATTTAATGATGCATTAAGATAAGTTAAATAATGATCATGTTAATCCAATTCTTTTTAATATTTTTTTCAAATAAATTTATTGTTATAATTCCAGCTTCTTTTTTTTTTTTTTTTAATTATTTAGTTTAATATTACTTGATCGTTGTTTCGTCACATTATTATTATTATGATTATTAATATTACTATATATATTTCATTGGTCCAGCCTATAAAAAGATATTACACTTTAGGGGTGTTTGTTTCTGGGGTTAGGAAAGGGATTTGAGGTGGGAATGATATGGGTTTCAGGGAGAGGATTTAATTTATTATCTGGAGAAACTTTTTTTTCCAAACATCTAAAAAGCAGGCAATGGAAAGGTTTTAAAACGCATTCAAACGGATGAGGTTCTTTTAATGTGTTTTTTTTTTTTTTAATCTTTTTTCCTTTTGTATTGTTTCTTCCTCCACTTTTTTATGTTTTTCCAAGTTGGGCTAAATATTTATAGTTAAAAAGTTTTATATTTTATTAAATTCATTTATTTGAGAATTAAAACTTAATACAAAATAAACTTAAAAACTTAAAATTTAATAATCTGACTTCATAGAAATGGAAATAAAAGACCTAATAATAATTAATTATCTAAAATTAAATAATATAATAAAATTATTAAAAAGTATTTAGATAACATTTTTTATATAACATCTATTTGATTCCTTCTTCCACATTTTTGTTTCTAGTCACCATAAGTAAAAGTTTCACCCAACGGCCCTTGGGGTTTTGAACCATTGATTTCATTAGCCTTTGGTTTTTCCAAAAGGCATGGGCCAAAAAAATTGTTATATGTTTTCCAAATCTTGGTAACTCACTAGCCTAAATTGTCGTCTTACCGTATTTTTCTTTTATCCTCCTGTATGAGCTTCCCCTTGTGTTGTATAATTTAGAAAAGCCATTAATTTTTAACACATGATGACGATAACGTAATCTTAACAAGAAACCGTATGCGGACGTTTCAATGTCGTTTGTAACCCATCAAATTTCCTTTGTCACCAGTTCCTCATAGAGTTCTTTGATTGGAAATTTTGCTTAAGCTCCTTAAGAATAAAATAAAATGTTTCGAGTATAGAAGGTCTAGAAATACTATGAAAATTTCATATAAATAAATAATATTTTTGCTTAGTTCTTACTTCAATGTTAAATTAGTTGTAGTTAGTTTTTAGTAAGTTAAATTATTTAAATAATTTAAATTAATTTAATTTTTATTATATTATAAATAATATCTTAAATTTGAGGTTTTTGAATTTATTCAATTATTATTCTCAAATAAGTGGTTTTAATCAAATTATACATATTTTTAATTATAAATAATTAGTACGGTAATCAAATTAAAGAATTAACTATACATGATGAAACACTATGTAAAGTGGAGTAAATTATTTAAGATGAGATTATCTTATAATAAGTTATTAATAAAACGATAAAAAGATTAAAAAAAAAAGAAGATTTTATATTACATGTGCAAAATATGATATAAAAAAGAAAGAAAGAAAGAAAGAAAGAAGAAGAATTGTAAAATAGAAGGGGGAAAAGAGAGTAAAGAAAATGGGAATAAAAAACAAAGAGATAAAAATAGAAAGAAAATATGGAGGAAAGTTGATAAAAAAAATGAAGAAATTAAAAAAGAAATAAGAAAAAAAAAAAAAGGACTAATAGGGTGGGTTTTGAAGGCCCGTAGTTATTTTAGTAGTTTCGAAAACCCACCACAATGTGATGCCAGGAAAAACTTTTTCAAGGCATCTTATTTCAAAACTTTAAAACAAACCTCGGCTTCCAAAATGCATATCCATTCCCATCTCTGAAACCCTCCAACCAAACATGTGCACGGGGTTTATACTGTTTATCGACATGCTTATTCAAATGGACCAAATTATGCACTTTGAGTATACGAAGTTCACACCCATTGATTTAAGTCAGGACTATAACTATCTTCTAGACATCTGAGTATGGGTGTAATATTGAAGGCACACAATATTCTAGCATAGCAGCTGATCGAGATTATCTCCTTGAATTAAAAAGGCAAACAAACAAACAAAAGGTATAGGTACCCGTGTCGATCATCTACTTAAAATTGACTTTTAATTTGAATAGTTTAGCATACAAATGTCTAACAAAAATAATTTGAGGTAACACTCAATAAGTTGATGTCCCATATGAACCAAGCCCATCTTTTTATCTCCATGAATCATGATAAATTATTTTATTAACATAGTCTAAAGACAATTAAAATTATGTGGATATATTGTTTATGCATGTGATGATTACTGGACACTGGGATTAACCATACGAGTAATGACATAAATGGGCAAATTTAGAACCGGGCTTCAAAATATACCCTATCTATTTCTTTGCCGGATAAATGGCCAAACAACACATTTAAACACTAATTAAGATTTATCAAATGAATAAAATACTCCTTACCAAAACAGCTCATTGCAATTCTAGAATTATGGAGTAATTAAAGTGAGTCTCAAATTCAAAGCAAAACAACCCAAATTTTATAAATCAAAGTTTAATAAATTTTAAGATTCTATGATTAAGAAATTTTCATCCTAAAAAGATACTTTCTAAATCTAGACGAAATAACTTTGCACTCCCAAGTCCAAATAACTTTATAGACTACATAATTTCAGAATTAATTATCTTAACTGGGTGTCTCAAACACCACCTTAAATCCTAACGATCTTATATGCTAAAGTTATGTCTTAAGTTCTTCGTTTTATATCTTTAGTTAAAGGTTTTATGTTCATCCCTACATGTTATCAATTTGGTTTTTTATGCATCAATAAATTTTTTTAATTCAGTCCCTTGGTGTTGGGGAATCTTAAAGGCAATTGATATAAAATTGGAAGTGAACGAAAAAGTCATAAGAATTTTGGGAGGCTGAGACTATGAGTGGTGAAGAAGGCCGACCTTTTTGGACAGCTGACCAGGTTTCTGCCGGAGGAGTTTGGAAAATTTCGCCTATTGATCTAAAGCTTAATGTTTGCCGCACAATCAGCTGGAGGTAATTTTCATCTTCTAGCTCCTCTGTTTTTTAACATGGGTTCTATGAATTGGCTTAGTTGATCTAATACAGTCAATTGCTTTATAATTTTCCTAAAATGGGCTTCAGAAACTCCAGTGCCTTGATATTTCTTCGAATCTTTTGGAGTCACTTCCTGATTCTATCGGCCTATTGGTTAATTGAAGGTCGTCAACGTATCAGGAAACAAACTGAACTTCCTGAAACCCTACTCGTTGCAGGTAACTAAATCAGTAGTCTTTGGCTTCCTTTTCAACAGCACATGGAAAATGATGTTCATTGTGCTGAGTTTTGAATATTTTGATTACTTGGTGGGTTTTTATTTTTATTTTTACTGTAGTTCGTTGGTGGAGTTGGATGCAAGTTTCAACAATCTGCGAAGTTTACCTACAAGTATTTGGATATGGATTGGTTAATCTTGAATGG